GCAGCGGGGAGTCGCAGTCCGGAATGTAGTGCTCACAGTAATCCACCGCGGCCTTGGGATCGTCCAGGATGAGCAGCTGCTGGATATCACCCTAGACAGAGAAAGGCAAGAGACACCGAGTCACCCCGCAGCCAGCTCAACAGGCCTGCATAAAGCAGCCTGTAACCTAACCCACTCCATCCTTCCAATTCCAGTCCCCCTGTCGTCCAATACTGGGCCACGACCCAACACCATCCATCAACCGTTTGCCGTTTTTCCACAGCACTCGGTCATTAAGGAGCACCACTCTAACACGTTACTAAGTGGTACAGAGAACAGAGAGAGAGTACAACAGGTATCTGCAAAACAAAACTTCAAACAATCTGCCTGAAGGCTAGCCTGTCATAGATGAAACAGTTGGTTCAAAGAAAGCTTTCCATTTCAAGAATGATCACCAGAGTTTCAGTAGGAGCAAAAGGAATGCAGAAGTTCAAAGAAACTTCCAAAGGTCGTAGCAGATTTAGTTAGACTATGAGATTTGTGACCAGACAGGCAATGTAAAAAATGAACTGTTGCACAAGAAGTGGCCAAGACAAATATCCCTGAGCAGCAGGTACAGTGAGCTTTCAGAGTTTTTTTCCACGACTCCCATGCAAGCGTGAGGGGAAACTGGCACAGCTCTTTCAAAGCGCTTTCCGTCTGACCATCCTTACAGAGACGCAGGAGTGGGGTTTCCATAGGAACAGAAAGGCAGCCAAGGCCTGCTGTTTGGGATTTAATCCTCATTTGTTGTCTTCTGTGGAATGGGCGGGGGGGCAGGGCAGCTGGGGTTTCGTTGCTTTCCCTTCTCACAACGGGGGCTGTTTTGTTGTCAGGGGTTACCAGGACACGCGGAGGTCTTGCGGGGAGGAAACGACTTTTCTGGCGGCCTGTCAGCGACGAGGACGTGAACACAGAGGACAGGAAGAGACTCGAAGCCACCCGAAGCCACCGCTTGGCGTCACAAAGGAACACTGGAGGGAGTGAAGTGGGCAACGCAGGATTGTCCTTTGTGCCTTTCGCAGAAAGAACAGAAACAGTGTAGCTGCTCGGCTTCGAGGAACAAATCCCAGCTGGAGAGAGTGGCCTTAGTGGAATTTTTACAACCTGTTGTTTGTGATGGAGATGGCTGGTAGGAATTCTCGCTGGAGTAGGCTTGTGTTTACTTAGGTGAGCCCGAGTGGGAGCTGGTGAAATTCCTATTGCCCAGATTACAAGCAGGTGTATGGGACTGGGCATGGGGGAGTGTAATTTCAAGTAATCGGGCACAGATGTCAAGACATTTTTTTCAGTTTGTGTTGGTGTCCAGCAGGCACGGCGGTTATCTTCATTACACGTACTTATTCTTCTGCACCAGTACATACCTGTCTATTCACAAACGTATTTATAAACAAAATATCCCAATGAAACTGGCAAGTGTCACACATCTTTCAGTACAGTAAAATCACCTGCTAATAGTTTAAATCTTTTCTTATGCTTCTTGGACACTGCAAAACTGTATCTTCCCCCCTCTTAATAAAAAATCACTCATTCACAGTGGATTAGTGGGATGGAAAATGCAGTATGGGCACAGAGCTTCAAGTTGTGTAGACAAGGACCTATTAGACTCAATGGCCAACTTATCAGGGCCACTGAATAATGTGTTAAGCCTTCTCTGAAAACCAGTAACAGCCTGAACAGGACAACATGCATCTCTCAAACGGGAAATTGTTCCAGCAGGATCACCTTCAGCTGAGGCTGCAATGAGTTGTACAGGTAACAATAATAATTCCTTCTACAGGGTTTTTCATCCCACAATGCTTTACATGCCAGACAGGGGGCACTTCATCTAGTTGAAATGCATCCATTTGGGTGACACACAACATCCATTCTGCACCAGCAGACCCACTATAGAGCAAAGCAGGTGGAAGAGTAAGAAAATGCTTCACTAATTGAAATGAGACGGAACTCTACATAGGCCAAATTGTACAAGCCAAGGGTGACACCTAGCCTGGACACTGATGTTAAAAAAATAAGAAATAGGAGGCAAAATGATCTTTTTTTATCTTAAAGACATTCTCCCTCTTTCTGTCATTACTGGATGTAATTAGTCAGGCTGGGTCACGCTTAGCTGGGTTTAAACAACTGCGAAACTTTGCTGCCACATTAAAGAGATCAGCTTTCCCCCCCGAAGACAGGCGGTAGGAGGAGAAAGTGTGGGCTTTGGCAATTGTCTGCCATTAGCTCTGCGAATCAAAGCAATCAAGGCACCAATTCCAATCACCATCCAAGCCATCTGACTGTTTTGAGAAAGTCTTGTTGAGGGCCCTGTTCTGCCATCTCAAATTTTCACACGCAGTCAGAAAAGCTGCAAAGAAGTGGAGTTCACATTTCCTTCGTTCTTGCCATCAGTAGTCCCAGAACATGTGGCGAGATGCTGAGCTATTACGTCTCTACAATAATGAAGGCAGCAATACAAAGCAAATGGTTGGACATGTGGGGAACTAAGCAGACAGATGAGATATGTGCAGAGATAGGACAGACAGAGAGGCAGTTTGACAGATACACAAGATGGACGTACAGTTCGAGACACATCAAGACAGGCAGAAAGATAGATAATCAGACATGTGAGTGAATAAATTGGAAAGAGACTGGGAGATTGACAGAAATATCTACAGTATATCAACTATAGAAACATGGGTATTAAATACTCCAGAAGCACAACCTGAAGGACTGTGAGCAGTAGTGTCTGAAGGCTCTCTCACTATCACTTTGAAAGCAACAATTATTTTTACGAGGCATTGAGACTCAGATTCACCATACAGTACATCTCTACAGAGCTAGATAAGAGAGAAAGGCAGTTTATATGGGGCTGTATTTCAGAAAAAGCAAGAGGCAGGTGAAAACTTTAATCTTCTGCAGAGAACAGCCGTCGATCACCAGTCCTCTAGGAAAGGTGTAAACTTGGGGAGGGAGAGGGGGGTTCATGGTGTGAATGGGGTATTTTAAGACAACATGAAAAAGGACTAAACTGGGTAATCAAAATGTAGCATAAAAGCTTAATTTTTCAGTGCAATTGTGCCGTGTCAGTCACCCGCACTAGAGCTGCTCTGTGGGTAATGTTCAGGAATCGACCACCCCCTCACACTGCAATGCCGTTCCCAGCATGCTGTCTCCTTTATGAGACGTTTTCTTCTCGTCACGCTCAGCCAGACGATTCCAAGCCAATTGGCACCTCCGCCATCCTGAGCCGGGAGCGCGTCCTTTCACGCTGGCTTCCGAACTCAACACCTCTGGTATTGCAATCAGAGATGAAAAGGGAGAAAAATACCCTCGCTTTTCCAAAAGTGAACTCTTTCCAAAGTAGACCAGCTGTGCCCCCCATCCCCGTTAAAAGTTTTTACTTTTAACCGAACTCCTTTGTGGATTTTATGCATCTACTAAAAGCTGAACGTGCACAGTGAAAAACAAGAGCTGAGATGACAGACGGGGCCGGTGAGAAGAAACCAGGGGCACATCTTCCAGATGCGCCCCGTGAACACAGGGGTATCTTCACACCCCTTGTGGTTTGCACAGCTGCCTCTGTCTGGAGCTGCAAGCTTTGAACTTGGATCTGTAAAGAGATGACAGCAAAGCTCTGCAGAATTTGGAGAGACATCAACCAACAAACAAACACCGGGACCAGGAATCCTGCCAGAACTGTCCCATATTCCCGTAAGTCCAGAGCTCAAGTTACCAGTTCCAGCCTACACTCCTACAACTCAAAAGAAAACACGGCACGTTACGAGAAACTACATAGAGTTATCACAGTTTTCGAACAAAGGAGAACGGCCGTCTTGTCAGTGAGAGACGATACCCTACAGTTTCTTTCAATTCATTTTGCTCTGTCTTGTTCATAAACCACAGAAATGTACACTGTGTGGTTACAGTGTTGTTTCCCTTAAACTCAAGTGTGTTAAATCTGAACAGGATGATCAGCAACAGTAATAACAACAATGTTAATAATGTAAGAGGGGTGACTGGGGGGCTGTGTCAGCATGTGGGCTAGGAGAGGTTAATTCCACACTGAAATGAAAATGTTCCTCCACAGGCAAAACAGGAAAACACACAGAAATTATATTTATTTATGATATGGTTTCTGCTCCTGGCTTCATTCTACGTACCAAAACATACGTCTTTTCAGCTCGGCTAATAAAGCAACGCAGTTCTAGGTCACACTTTTCTGTGAAAGCTGGCAGATGTGTTTCTGCTGCGGAGCTGTAAGACCACTCACAGAGGACAATACACATACATGCATGCTCACAGACAGACGCACACGTGAACACGCTCACAGAAACAAACACGCCCGCGCACACGCTCACAGACACAAACAAGCACACTCACACGGTCACAGACTGGCGCACGCAGAAACACGCAAGCAGACACAGACATACTGTATATGCACACAAGCACATCTCAAAGCACGCAATCCAAAGATGGCATAAACTTTAAAACATGTCAATATCAACATTCACTCATTCACCAGGGGGTTCCTCAATAAGTGTGAACACAGTGGTCTTGGCACGCCAGCCCTCAGAGACAACGCTGTGGGGATCGGCATGTAACGCCGGCCTCTCCGGTGAGAAAAAGACTTGTTTTCCACCCTCCTGGCACAGCAAACTCTGGTATTCATTAGATTATTTTTTCAGCTACGTCAGACCAGGGCCCTAACGACCCCTGCTTGTGAATTCTAAAAGCAATGTTGCAGGCTGCCAGCTCACACAGTGATCTATTACAGTAACACAGAACGAGGTCAGGGGAGCTGGGTGGTTCAGAAGCTGGCATCCACGCCAGATGGCCCGGGTCCAGAAGAACCCAGGTTATAAAAAAACGCGCCAAGCTACTATAACTGTCCGAGCCATTGTCCTCCGTTGATATGGCTGTCTGGGGGCCTGACTTGGACACACGCCAGAGCACTTTCAGGCCATTAATACTTCAACAGGGGTACAGAAAAGCAGTGCGTAACTCACTTCTGCCAGCTCTGTTTTTGTTCTGGTCCGTCTCTGCATCTCAAGCGAGCTGGAACCACGGCGCTTTCACACGGTCGTGTAACAC